AGGGGCTAGGACTGGGGCCAGGGAAGCTATTCTCTACTTCCCCCCCTAGTTCCCAGTCTCTTGTACTTTAAATGCTGTGTGTTCTACTTATTTGAGCAGTACATGGGGGTGATTTAAAAGCTGGGGAGCTGGGACCCAGGGTTGGGGAAGTTGTCAGCAGCCCCACTTCCCTCTAACTTCAGCTTTAAAGTGATTTAAGACCATGGGGGACTGCATATTTACAGCTTGCCTCCTTCCCAGACAGGGGAGAGAATAGGTTATCAAGTAATGGCTTCCCTAAGGGCAGGGGAGGCCCAGGGAGCAGCCCTCCAGTGCCTCCTGGCTGGAGAGCTTGCCTGTGTAGCTCTTTATGCAAGGGGCTGCTACACAGCTCCCAGGCTGTTTTTCAACTGGTAAGAATTTCTCCAAAATTCTTACCAGTAGAAATGAGTACCTGTACATGGCCTCTGTCTCTGCTGGGCTCATCTAAAGACCAGTCAATCAGCATATTTTGATGGGCTTCTTTAATTTTTTGGATTAGACCCAATATCAGCAATATACATGCTTCATGGACATCAGCTACAGAGTTAAAAAGGATCTAAAGGTTATGGATGAGAGTATTCAGTTAGACTCTGAGACAGGGAAATGTTTTATTTTTTCTGGTGTCCAATATTTTTGCTGATTGTTGGAATTTAGTTGACCATGTTAGCAATTTAGCTATTTTTTAAAATTAAATTCAGAGACCAATAGTGGTTATACAGTTACTTTAACAAATGTTTTAAATAGAGGTGCACTGATACATTGGTCTGATATTGGATTGGCACTGATATACAGAAAACTGACTGTATCAGAAATCGGCTTTTTTTAATCTGATGCTGCTGATAATGTGGCCCATATATGCCTTGTCACGTGCACAGCTGCAGCATGCATGGGGCCAGAAGCGCAGCCTGGCAGCTTGGAGAGCTGCATCCAGCTGGTAAGTCTGCTCCGGTGGAAGGGGAGGGGGAAGGGAAGGGGCATGAGGGGGCAGATTGAGGCCCCTGTGGTGAGGGAGGTAGTGGGGCAGCCCAGCCCAGCCCCTACTGGGAAGAGCTTGGCACAGCCCCTGACCCCAGCCCGCAGCAGCAGCTTACCCTGCGTGCAGATCCAGGGGGAAAACACCCCCAATGTCCTTCTGGGATGGACACAGGAGCTGCCTCCTTCTCCCTATGCCCCCAGAAAAGATGCGGCTCCATCCTGTGCCCTGCCCTGGTGGGGCAACACCTGCCCCAGCCCCTGCCCCACTCCTTCCCTCATGGCAGGGTCCTCAATCTGCGCCCCCCACGCCCCTTGCCACACCCCTTCCACCACAACGGACTTACCAGCCAGACACTGCTCTTCAAGCTGCTGGGCTGTGTATTAGAAATTGGATCGCTGGTGGCCAATATGCCTCCTTAAAAACTGGCTATTGGTATGGGTCCAAAAAATCTCTATCGGTGCACCCTTAATTTAAAAACAAAGGAAATACCAACTGCATGCCATAATACATGGCAACGATACAGTACTTATAAAGTACTGTAATACAGTAGTTACAGTTACAAGTAAGCTAGCAAGAGGGAAAATTTTAGCTGTCCCATTCTGGTTGATATCAGCAGGTTCAGCTCATGCTAGTGAAGAACAGCTCTCTCTTGCTTTGTTTTATGCGTTTAGGGTTTTAATTATATCATGTTTTATAGATATAATTATATCTGAAGTATTTGATTTTTAGAATTGATCTGATCTCGCTGCAAAAGCTTTCATACATACCTTTTTTTTCTCCAAAAAACTTGTTTTTGTTTACCTGTACTTCGTTATTGGTGGGCTTTTCTAGATGCACTCAAGTCAAATGGTAGCATGGCAATCTTTTTGCTATTATCTACTGCCTTTTTATGTTAGTATCTATATAGTAGCTCCCTTCCTTTTACCACAACATTAGGACTTTTAAGGTGTGTCTACATGCTATATGCAACATGCTATATCACAATATGGCGTGATATGGCAGTGTAGCGATCACATGGGTCTACATGTGACTGGCAGCTACGGTGCTGTAGCAGCACACTTCCCTGGTATAGCGTGCTGCTATAGTGATGTAGCAGCAAAATCTAACCATGTGCTGTGCGCATGGTGCATTAACCATCTGTACTGCGCCATGCTTTAGTACTTCCAAAAGGAAGTACTAACGCATGGTGCCATAGCAACCTCATCATATAGTGACATGTAGACACACTCTTACTGTCTCTTTTTCAGTCTTTTTCATTGCTTATATCATGGATTTCTGGAGGTTTGTTCATACTTGTATATACGAAATTCTTAAACATATATTTACACGTTATATATTAAATTTTCTTGACATGTTAAACTTGATTCCTATGCTGATTTGCTTCTTTTACTTCCCTTCCTTTCTTTTTCATCAGAATAAAGTGATATGCTGAAGTTGCTATATGAAGGTCGTTTCTAGTTTCGTCCTCTTATTTGAATTAGTAATGGGCCCCTATTTCTGTTCTAATCTTTAATCAGATAAGGAAGGGAAATAGTAATTCCACACTGTGAAAAAGAATCTTGCTTCTCTTTGGCATGGACCAGAAAGATTTTTGGACAACTTACTTTTAATATGGAAATTTCAAATATCAAAGGCCACCTATGCTTTCAATTTTATGAGCTCCCTTCCAGAGTTGCGCCTGAAAGTCATACTCCGCAAGCAGGATATCTTTTTCTTTACTATTATTAAATATCCATTGTGTTGACTGACTAATGTCATGCAGAAGAACTCTGAGACCAGATGGAACACAGAGAAGAATTTTAAAAAGAAGTTATGTTAACTAAAATTTACAATGTAAGGTTTAGAGCTTGCTTATTTTGAAGATTCTTTTTCTTCCTGCATTTCATTTCTCCTTCATATCTGAATTTATTCATTGATTCATTATAACCATTCATCATTAAATCTGAGCTCAGCAAGACTCCATCCACTGTTCAATTTTTGCACTTATAAGTACTCTATATAATAACTTAATTTAATTTAAATTCCTAGAGAATATTTTGATTTTTGTAACTTAAATAATAAAAGCAGAGAGAGATTAAAAATGTAAAATAATGCTATTAAAGTAAGAATGTCAGGGTATTTTAAAATAAGATTCCGGGAAGATTGATAATCTATTTTAAATGGAAAATTTTAACAGTTAACCTCTCATAAGTTTTACTCAAAATGGGGTACTTTATAATCAACATTTCTTTGCTTTTGATGTATATAATTTATGTCAACTGAAAAATCAGCTCTATATATGCACAAGCATTAACACTGTTTAATTTATAATCATGCAATCTGTTCTTTCTTTATAGAGTGTGTTTTTTAATAACCAGTAATATTAATGGAAATAACTTCTGGTCATATGAAGAAAAGGATAGCTGAATGACAGAAAAAACTATAGTAAACTTGATAACACTATGTCATTGCTAGTGCTTTGCCCCAGTTGCAAGAACTGCATCTAGTTTTGATTTCAAGAAATTTTTAATATATAGATTGAATGATTTTTTACATTCAGTTTAAGTTAATTTTATTGTTATAACATTATATCCTTGCTGTGCTGTACAACAAACATTGCAGAACTAGTAGACCTCTTCTGTCTTTAACTTAATTTAACTTAATTACATTATGCCAGTGATTTTGTAAGAAAATATGTAGAGCTTCAGGAATGAATAAAAATGCATAATGCCATGTTTCTAAGTGACTGATGAGCTTTGATTATTAACCATACAACTATTAGGAATGTATATTTTTTTAATGTACATTATTTTAAAAGTTCTTTTTTAATGAATATGGGAAAAATCTGTGAGATATGCAGCTATCAATATAATTTATATTTTGCTTTTGATATACTCTGAAATTAGTAGTATAGGACAAATTAAATTTAGGACAATTTTTGGGGTGTAAATCCAGCCTTAATTAGGCAGAATTCCTACTGATTATGACTATATTTTGATTAAAAAATTAAGATTTAGTCATAATAGAGTGATAAACCATTTTATATAGATAAAGTATAGTGAGTACAAAATATTTTATAATATGTGTAGAAATATCGAATAATATGGAAGAGCCAGAGTCAAATTAGTTGGGATATTTTTTATTGAGTGCTGGATTTACAGTTTTTTGAATTTTGATTTTCTTTACTTTGAGTAGAGGAACCATAAGTTTAGATGTATATATTTAAATGCTCCCAGGTTGTTATTTAATACAATAAAATGACATTTTCTGTTGAAGGTACTTTATGTTGAATTCAGTTTTTTCTGTTGAATCTCCTTTGCTTGCATCTGATCTTTCTTTCTGTTGATTTTGCTTCATTTTTTCATTTACCATGCTGTTCAGTTTTTGGATGCCAGGAGAACAAAGGTTTGTTCACTATTTGCAGTCAATTTGTTTTTCCAAACACAGTATTACTTATTGCGTGCATACTTTTTATTTGCTTAGTAGACACAGTAATCCTGTTTACTAAACTTATTCATACCTTTAATTGCAATAAATAATAAAAATAATTTACCCTATTTTATAATGAACTCTGATTTGCATTTTTCAATGAACATGGGACAAAATAGAAGGTAGAATTTAGAAAACATGGAATACTGTGTCTTCAAGTTTTATAGATACGTAAAAAATTCAATATTAGATGTATGCCTTTGAAACTTTTGAAATAGTTCACTGCCTAGTTTTAGGATGGTTTGTTTTGTTTACTATTAATTTTACCTGTAACTGATGTGTGTGTGTGTGTGTGTGTGTGTGTGCGTGCGCGCGTGTGTACTTGCACATGTATGCACACATGTGCTTGCATAAATGTTTTATATTTTCCAGAAGCACTTGAAAAACTTCACTACAAATATTTTATCACTTGTGCATTAGATATTTTATACAGCACTGTCAGTACTGATTCGTCTAAATTTTGTGATGTTAAATAACAGTAATGTAACCAAAGACAAATTCCATTCATATCTTTTATTGATCTCTTGTATTTCAGCACCTGCAAATGACAATCCAGGCACTTCAAGATGAGCTTCGAACCCAGAGAGACCTTAATCATCTTCTTCAACAAGAAAGTGGAAACCGTGGTGCTGAGCATTTTACTATTGAGCTTACAGAGGAAAATTTCCGAAGACTTCAAGCAGAACATGACAGACAGGCTAAAGAGCTCTTTCTTTTGAGAAAAACTCTAGAAGAAATGGAATTGAGAATTGAAACACAAAAGCAGACACTAAATGCCAGAGATGAGTCAATAAAAAAGCTCCTAGAAATGTTGCAAAGCAAAGGTTTGCCATCCAAAGGAATGGAAGACGACAACGAAAGAACTCGAAGGATGGCAGAGGCTGAATCTCAGGTTAATCATTTAGAAGTGATTTTAGACCAGAAAGAGAAGGAAAACATACATCTTCGAGAGGTAAGAAAATCACCATCTAATTTTTTTCTGATAAAAAGGTACTGTCAAGATACTGCAGTAAGTTGCAAAGCTATTTTCAGCTTTGGAAACTTGAAACTGATATCGATTCCAGTCTGATTTTTCTTGCATTATCCCCACCCTGCACCTATGAAACATCCATTTTCAGATTATTCCAACTCATAAAAATGGATGCATCAATATTTATATATATCTTGAAAACAGGTATAAGAAAAATGAGGTCACTTTTATGTTTATTCCTTTTGACAGTGTCTTTTTAATCATAAAGCCACATTTCCTATGAAAAATGAAGTTTATGACAACTGCTAATATTGCAATCAAAGTATGAGGAAGAAATATAAACTTTCTTACACATAAGAAGCTAGAAATTAGAGTAAAATGATTTGGGCTTGCTTATTATATCTTTGTATTTAAGATGTTCCATTTGGAATGTTTCATTGTTCATAGAAACATGCTCAGACACCTGTGCACGTGTGTTCCTTAATGCATTTACAATGGTGGTTTCTAACTTTTTGCATAAATCAACCTCTTTGCTACAGTAGAACATTGGCTGTACCAGCCAGTTTATACCTATTCATGTTCAAATGTTAGCGTTTTACTCTGAAGCAGATGTTGGGCTTATTAAGTACCTACTCTCACAACAGATTGGTTTGTACTTTAGTTTGGATCATAGATCATTGGGCAGGAGATGAGAAGCAGCATAAAGGTTAATGACTGAAGTAAGGACAGTAGCCAGGCTGTCCAACTTCTGTGTGACTGGGAGCCACAGGATCCCCAGCCACATACTGCTTGGGCTTCATGTCATACCATGCAAGTACCCTTTGCCCCTCTGCTGCACCACAGGGGCCCTGACATGTGCAACATCTTTCCCACCCCCTGCAGTGCGTGGGCCTCCAAAGTGCTGCATGATCTCTGCTTGTGCATCTCATGGGCCCCCAATGGCACTACACTGCGTGGATCCCCTCACACACCACTCCCACTCCTCCCACTTAGTAGCTGGTGACTCTCACTGCATCACGTCAGCCCAGGTGCCACACGGGGTCCCCACATCCCAAGGACTCCTGCAGCAGCAGCAAAAAGCAGAGGGGAATGGCATTCAGACCAGGAGCCCAGGGTCTGCAGTTTAACTCTTCAGGTGTCACATGCAGCTTGTGGGCCATCAGTTGAACAGACCTGGATTAGAGCATGTGAAACTACTTGCAAAATATGATGTATCAATATTGAGACCATTATCAGATGTCAGGAATCACTGTTATGCATAGTTAAGAAATATCAACCTTGCTGCTTTGAAACTGAAAGAGAATGTTAAGTGGTCTCTACAGAACATAGGTCAGAAGTTCTTATTGCTTTGTCATAGAGTAATTGCTTTATATTTAGTTTGCAACTTTTGCAGTAATTGGAAGGAACAGGAGAAAGGCATTTTTAAAACTCTCTTTTATGTTTTCCCTTTTTTCCATTTTTCTTTTACAATGCAGCCACTTTCCTTCCAAAGACCACAAATGGGCAATTTGTCTGTGAGAAGAGATGCCCTGGTCTTCACCAGTTCCCCAGACCAAGCAGCACTCAGACAATTCTGACATCAGAAATATGTTTAGTGATTTTTAACAAAACATAGATTTTTACATGAGGCTGAGTTTATTGGTCAGATGACTATACTGACCAGAACTCTATTCTAGTGGTATTTATGATCCATCTGTATACAAAATCTCACAGGCCATGTTCTTATATGTTTATATTTCAAGCCCTTTTTATTTCTCTTTTTGCAATGCGTTACTTCTTTAGGGAGGGGAGGAGTAAAGTTTTGCCCTCTAGTCTGTTGTTTCACATAAAAAGCCCGTAGTCTTTTTCTGAGGCAAAATTCTCATTTAAATCAATATTATCTGTTAGTAAAGTCTGAAAGTTAATGGAATTTGAAAGGATTTCTAGGAGAAAATTTGACTCCATTTGTCATACAGAACCTTCTGTATGGTGCAGTCTAGCTTCTTGGTTTTGATCTGCTTTTCTCTGAAGAGCTTATTCTGATTATTATAAGGTTACATGATTTATTATTAATGTTGGTCCTCTATTTTATATTCTGGAACTTAGAAATCAGTGTCATGTAGGTCTCTGCATCCTGATTTCCAGTTTTGGTCTCATACTGGTTTTGGATAGAAAGCTGTGTGCATTGCTTTAATTGAGATGACACTTGATATGCAATACATTCTTGTATATTTATTAGAAGAGAGAGTTGACTTAGCTCTGATCTGCAGGCATAACTGGGGGAGTTCCTTTTAACCTATAGAATTTATTTAAGTAATTGCTAGTGTAGGTGAGGTTTTTGCCATTTGGTGCAGTCTTCCAGTGTTATAAAAAGGAATTATTATGTTTGAATAGTTATAGCAAGTTTACCCAGGGCATGTCTACATGAGATGCTTAACTGTGTAGTAGCATAGTTTACTGCGCAGTGAGCATATGTGTCTACATGTGCACATGCTTACTACACAATAAACCTCACTAATCGCGAGTAAATTTGCTACCTGCAAACGCAAGTAGAAAATTTAGTTTTGATTAGTAACAATACAGTAGCACTTATGTAGATGCCTGACTGGGAGCAAATCTGCTCCTGGTTAGCTGTCCACTGGGGCAGGAGATTGCTCCCTGCCCCAAGGAGCTGCGGGCTGCTAGGGTAGGCTCTGCCACCAGAACCCAGGCAGGGACTATGTTCCCCTGCCCTGGCAGCAGGGAGCTCCAAGCCCCACCCTGCTTTGACATGGAGATTTGGGTGTGGGGCTGGGAGATAGTTCTCTCCAAGAAGCAGCTCTGCAACTGCAGGGCCAGCACTGGGAGAACCTTATCTCAAAATACTGGCCCTGCAACCATGGAGCTGGCACTGGGAGATAAGTCCCAGCGCTAGTCCCATGGTACGGAGCTGGCTCTGGTAGCTCCCAGCTGGCCGGGGCTGGGGAGCTTATTTCCCGCTCAGCTCCACGCTCATCAGGGGCAGGTCCCAGCCCCATGCCCTGATCTGGTAAGTGAGGCATGGGGCTTAGAAAGAGATGCAGGAGTGGGGTAACCCACTACCCTGATCTGCCGATGGGGTAGCTATCAGTGAGCTAGTTGCTAGCTGCCCCACTGGCACACTGCAGCAGGGGGCTGGGATCTGCCCCTCCTTTGCAGATCTTTCCAAGTCCCCTGCCCTTGATTGCAGAACCAGGGCCAGGAGCTCCCTGCTGCCGGGGCAGGGGGACATTGACCCCTCCTGGGCAGCAGTCAGTCCTCAGGGGCAGGGTATAATGTCCCAGCCAGCCCCTGGGCTAGCACCAAGGGGAACCTGGAGCTCCCCCTGGTGGTGGCAGGGGCCCATTGCAGTGCCCTAGGAAGTGGGAGCAGTTTGCTGCCATTAGCAGCAAATCTGCTCCGGCTTCTCTGCATGACGCCTGTTCGGGAGCATTTACTTGCAAGTAGTTTATTTGCGAGTAAACTGATCCTAGATCAAATGCTTGTGTAGGCGTGCCCCCAGTGACTTATGTTTTATCTAGTGTTCTGTTTTTTCCCCCTGTGTAGATGACCTTCAGATTTTTTCTAAGACTTTTGGAGCCAGTCTGAAACTCCAGTACATTTTTTTGAATCCAGTGCATGAATAATTTCGGAGGTGTTACATTTTTATTTCTAACATTTTGTATACAAAGTATTTGATGTTTAAAATATAATGATGTCTGTCTTCTACAAGTTGATCTGAAAGGGCATGTTTGTAAAGTATATACCTAGGAAGCGTATTGTGTTTTAGAGGCATGTGTACACAGTGGGTATGTCTACACGTCCATTTATGTGCCGTAGTTACTGTGCATTAAGATTAGTACTTGCATAACCAAGTACTAAATCAATGCACAGTAACTGGTGCTACTATGCAGTAGTGCTGACACACAGCTTTTTAGTGATGCTAACTCTGCAGTAGCCTGATACTACTGTGTAATAGCATATTAGTATGGGTTTTACTTGGCATGCTACTGAGCAGCGTTAGACGCACCCAGTATTGATCAAACATTTGACGTCTATTTGCATTTATTTCTCTCTCTTGTTTGACTATTTGTTATTGCAATTAGAAGAGCAGACTGCCTAATAGCAACAGGCTAAGGTCCAGGTGATCTTTGTAACAGTATCAGAAAACAATACAATTAACATTTTCAGCTGCTAGTTTCTACAATAGTCTCCATGTCAGAGAAGAATGGTATATGAAGAAAAAAAATAAAAATCTTGCGCAAACAACAAATGCTATTTGTGGGGAAAAGTGTGGAACTTAAGACGAATGAGTGAAAATCACATATTGAATTAAGACACTGTAAACTGAAGAGAATTAACTTACTGGAAAGAGAAATCGAGGCACTGGCCATATAACCTCAGCATCAAGGTAAGCTTCTCTCAAACCTTTGCTGGCTACCAGTTCTCTCTTCTTGACATCAAACAGGTCTGCAGGTCTGTCTCTTCAATAAACCCTTCCTATTCCTTCCTCTTCCTATTGGGAAGTCACGTTTCATTTTCATTCTTCCGAGTTCTGTATTACTGCCAAATTTCCAAGTGCTCCGTATATTTCCCAGAGTCAGAAGTGCCTCCAGGATATTTCATTTACCACCATGCCTTCTGAAGTCCTTTTTAGGAATTAATTTCATGCATTCTTTGCCATAATCTACAAGTTACATCTATGCATTGCAATGGTGATTTTTTTTCAGTCCAAATCAGGTCATATTAGCTAAACGTTTCTTGATTCTGCAACTGATGAAGGAAGTTGGGCTTGCAGTCAGTACTTAAATTTATATATTTTAAGATGAAGGGTACATGTAATATGTCATCAAATAGGGAATAGGAATATTTAATCCTCCTAGGCAAAATGGAGGCCCTTGAAAAGAGTCCTTTCCACAAGCTGGAAATGGCCTTAGTCTTCACTGGAACTGACTGCATACTATTAGTGATTCATACCCTTTGTTGGCTTTCCTTTAACAAGTCTT